ACTTTTTAATTATTGAAGCTACAAAAATAATTTTTACATATTTATATATCATTTAATAAGCTTATTTTATTTTGTTAATTTCACCAAATTATATTAACATTGATCAATACCTTGACATGGTGTTTAATTAAAATATAAAAATATTATCTTTTACATTAAAATATTATTAATAAATATGATAATTTATTTTATGCTTAATGTACAATGATACTGTCTAATACACTATGAGTTATTAATATTAATAAGTTTTCATTTCAAAAAATATTTTTATATTTTATTAAAATTTTTTATTACAACTTCAAAGAATATATTTCATAACTTTTTATTATATAATACAAAATTAACTATTAATATTAATAGGGTTTTCTTTTATTGATAAAAATATTTTTAAATAAAAAATAATTAGCGTTATAAATTAATAATTTGTTTCATTTGAATAGAAATAAATAATAATACTAACGAAACATTAAAAAATAATACTTTTATTGAAAACTCTGCAAAATATTTTTTCCTTTATAAACTGTAATTTTAATTTGAAAAGTAATAATTTTCAAAAGTATCTCTTGAATTTAACATAAACATAAAATATAATCGCAAACATAATGTTTTAATTTTAGATAATAAATCAGAATGTAAATGGCAGATTATATTAAAATTTTATTTAATTAAACAAATATCTCATGTATACTACACTATTAATACAGTATCAAGATAAATTATTGAAGCGATTGCTCCAATTTCTCCATTATTTCTGTAGCCATCATATCCATTACCGTTGGATTTTCAATCATTTCTATCTGGATATTATCGACATTATCCTAGGACATTTGTTAGAAATAATAAACAAATTTAATTATACCATATTTATAAATGTATGTCCAGTAATAAAATATACTTTAACCCTGCTTTCATAGGACCTAATATAATAGTCTCACAAAAGCATACTTTTGATTACTGGTAGAGACATATAAAATAATTTTCATACCATTGACCCGGGTAGTAAATATACATCACGAGATTTCTCCATAAATTCCTCCACGTTCTCTACTTGATCCAAATTAATCGGTTTGATCATGATCAATTTACCGGTCTTTTTCGCCCATTTCTTGACGATCGCGAGCTTTAGTTTGTTTGAAAACTTCTTCTTTTTGTTGATCCTATACTCCGATAGCATACGAATCCGGGTAATCATTACGTGAAAGATCTCCTCCATGTCCGGGGCTACCAGTCCTTTGCCGGCGAAGTCGACCACTTCGTTGCAAATAAGACGGATCTTGGCGTTCATATCCTTCTCTTTTTTAATCTCCCGGACCACCCGTTCCTTGAATGACTCGGGTATCTCACTGGACAGTATAGTCAGCATAAACTCCACCATAAACTCGTCGGTGAGCTCATCGTCGCAGAACCGGTGATCGCTAATCACGTCGACCACAACCGCCTTATCGGCCGCACCTAGGGTTACAAAATTAGGGTTATTTTCCTTCGATGCACACTCGAGCCATTTGGGGCCACAATAGTGTTTAAACAACTTTTACATTTTATTATATTAGTCGCA